TATATTAATTTTCTTTTTATGGTACAAATTAGTACAAATTCAGTTCTTTGTTTTTCTGTCTTTGGTTTCCTTTTTTTTGTTTTTTTGTGGTCCTGCTAGCTTAATATTAAAGTAGCAGCGCCATGGATTTTTTCGAAACGGCACGAGGTACAAAATTATTGTGAGTGGTACAAATTAGTACAAAATAAGTACTAAATAATCCGATAGATTTAAATGATTTCTGCTGATTTGGTCCTTCTAGCTTAGTGGAGGTCGATAGGCCGTAGGGGGACTGATTCTTTGTGAATCTTCGGAAGGCCGTATAGTCTGGGTGCTGAGCTGTCGCTGGGGGTCAGGTATTTCGTGGTTAGCGAAGGGAGGTTCGCCTTTTTGATCAGGGAGGAGGTTTTCTTCTCTACGCTAGTGGTTGGATCGCGTTTTAGTTTTTTGTAGACTTGGGCGTCGGACAGCAAGGTGTTGACTTTGTCGTGGTAGTCTCTTTTGTCCATTACCACTGTTGCGTTGCCTTTGTCCGCCGGTAGAATGAGGATGTCGTCATTCTGTCTTAGGCTTCGAAGCGCTAGTCGTTCTTCCCTGTTAATGTTTTGGATGGGAAGTTTGGCTTTTCGGAGGATTTGGGCTGACTGCTGTCTGATGTTGTTTCCTGCTTCAGGTGGGAGTTGGAAGATGGCGGTTTCTATTTGGCTGATGATCTCTTCTGTCGGGATCCTGGAGGGGATGACTGCAAAGTTGTGTCCTTTGGCAAGGATGGCTGTTTCGGCGGGTGAAAGGGTCTGGCTACTAAGGTTCTTTACTGTCAGGGGAGAAGCTGCTGTTTGCGTGTGTGGTTTCATTTTTGCAAATTTTTCTTTTTGTGTTTTGGTTCTTAATTCTGCCGAGCGGGTGGCTTGCTCGTGTGTAATCCGGTCTATGGTTTGCCACAGGTCCGGTTCTAGTTTGTAGGAGAGGGATAGATGTAGATCGAGAAGTTTTTTGGAAGTCTCGGCCAGGCCCTTTTTGGTTGTCGCGATTCTCTCCCTGAGTAGTCTCAGCGACGCTTGTCTCAGGATGGCTATGGATTGTTTGGAGGGCGGGAAGGGGCTTTTTATTTGTAGGAAATTCGGTACCGTCTGGTGGTCGCGGCACCGTTTCAGAAATGCTAAGGAGCACAGTAGTGCAAGGACTTCCTAAGTTTTGTGACCATCCGGAAGCCATGAAGACTAAAGAAGACAACAGCCGCGAAAGCCTGAAAGCCAAGTTATCGAGAT